TCTCTCTCTCTCTCTCTCTCTCTCTCTCTCTCTCTTTCTCTTTCTCTCTTTTCTCCTCTGTTGCACTGCTGCAATAAAGATCTCTTGATTGCTCTGAGTGTTGTGGTCACTTTTCTTTCACTTACAACATCCATCTTGACCTTTTGCAAGGCTTCTGTGAGACCTCCATGCAGCAAAGAAGACAGAATGGAAGTCCCAGTGGAGAGAAACCCAGACATCACAGCTGCCATAGCTGAGGAAGCCCTGCTGTCCTGCTGAGCCCAGCCTCAGCCACTCACCAGCAGGCTGCAGCCACATAATGAGCAGGGGAGACCAGGAGAGCCACCCATCAGGAGAGTCACAATAGCACAGCACTGGTTGTTTCAAGTGACTATTTCAGAGTGGATTATTAAGCAGAAATTGTTGGAATACATCCATTATTATTCTCTAAAAACATCTTAAAGTGCTAGGATATAGATTATTGATCCCTTTGTTCGGATGAGAAATGAAGTCTCAGGGTGTTTATATGGCATGGCACAGCCTTGCGGGTAGGAAGGTATGGGCTGCACCATGTGGGAGAGAGGGATGAAGAGCCACAGGCTGGCATGGGGGCTGCAGTGGGGTCAGGTATCAGAGGGTGCCACTGGCATGGGCCAGCCACACAGTTTGGCCTCTCTCTTGCTTCCCTTCTCATATCTAAGGCATTTTCCTGGCACAGAGCCTTGAAGCCAGACAGATGAGGCTTGACTTCCTGTCTTTGCCACCCACTTCCTGGTTGTAGGATCTTGACAAATGATACCACTTCTGAGCCTCAGTTTCTTCTATTGTAAATTGGTATTAAGCACCGGGTTTCCCAAGATTTTATGGGTTGGCATTTGTGTGTGACTATGCTCCAGGCCAGCACCCATGTATTGCCCAATACATATTTATTCAGACTCTCTTTCTCTTTCCCAGCTTCATTTAACCACTCTTTTGAGTGCCTCTTGTAGAAAGTAGGGGAAAACATAATTTTTAAGCTCATAGTTTTTTTTTTCCTTTTTTCTGAGATGGAATGATATAATAATGGTGACAAAGAATTTTGTAATTTGTAAAATAGAATTAATATGAATCTTTGAGGCCTGTATTAATCAGCTTTGCAGCACTGTGACCAAAATACCTGAGAAGAACAGCTTAGAGGAGGAGAAGTTTATTCGGGCTCATGGTTTCATGGTTCAGTCCATGGACAGCTGGCTCCATTGCTATGTGCCTGAGCTGAGGCAGAACACCATGGCGGGGTGTGTGTGGCAGAGGTAGGCAGCTCAGAGCATGGTGCCTGAGAAGCAGAGAGAGCGACAGAGGCATCAGGGACAAAATATAAACCCACAGCACACTCCCAGTGACCTACCTCCTCCAGCCATGCCATACCTGCTGCCAGTTTCCACTCAGTGTGGCAGTTCTTCCAGTTACTAATATGAATTAATCCACTGACTAGGTCACACCTCTCACAATCTAATTGCTGCATTTCTGATTATCCCTCACATGAGCTTTTGAGGGACACCTCATATCCAAACCATAACAAGCCTCAAAGACTAGTTAAGGTGGCTGTAGATTATGATGGTTGATGACCTGGGCCTTGGTAACACAAAGACCTAAATTATGAACAAGTGATCTAATCTTACCAGCTTTAGCACTATGGACCAGCTAACTAACTAATTCTATGTGCTTCTGTTTCCTGACATTTAATTTGGATATAGTGTAAGCCCCACCTCAGATACTTGTTGGGAGGATTAAATGAGATTGAAAATGTTCAGCCTTACCCTGGCACAGCAAGTGCTAATAATTTTTGGGAACAACTGCTTCCCTTTTCCCACCATTTTTCTTTCATCTTCAACTCATCCTGAGGCTGGGAGCCCTGCTCCAAATGTGAACTCTTGGTTTTAAAGAAAGAGAAGATATAATATCAAAATTTCTATCAGTACTTTGGAAAGCCTAGTGTGAACGGCTGGTCTATATGGCTCTGTGCCAGCACAGTGCAGGGATCACCCCCTACCCACGCCTGAAATCTGTTCCAGTTCCAGGATACAGTGAAGCTCCTGGGGTCCACTTCCTGTGCACTCTCCTGGGCACTGCTCCTCCCCACACAGAGACCCGTAAACTACAGATTAGCTATCCGCTCTACCTCTCAGCACACACACCCGACAACCCACAGCCACAGCCGGCAGGTGTAGGAGAGCTGTTGTAGACACTCCAGTTCAAAAACAGGAAGCCAGAGTCACACAGCAGTTTTGAAATCTTCAGTTCCTCCATTAGTGCCCAGGCCCAGGCCTTGGGAGCCACTCCCCATGCAGCCTGGCTCTGCTCCTGAACACCTGATCCCACTCATTCTCACACTCATTTCCCCCAAGACGCACACGGGTGTTTTCAAAGGAGGGAACTTCACAGCCTGCTCTCTGAAGATGAGGGTTAAGTGTCCTTTATTGTTAAGATTTTTTAAAATTCTACATCTCGATTTCAATCTGAATGTGCACAATTATTTTGAAAATTTTGTGAGCTTCTGGTGTAATGATTTACAATTACTCCCGTCGACAACCATGGGACACAGCTGTCCTGGGGGTACACCTCTGTTTTCCCCTGGAGCCCTCAGAGGGCTGTGTAAGGAAGCCTTGTTGTTTAATGCAGACGACCTGTGAGGAGTCCCTTCAGTCTCAGGAGGCGTCTGTCCACCTGGATGTGTCTCTTGGCCTCCACCTCAGAAGCCACATTCCCAGCCTGGGCTAATATTTTCTCAGAGGACCTGTCTTACTTCGAGAGTCTTCCACTGAGAGAGACTTGGAATGAGACATGGTTTGCTTTTTGTATCCAGCATGTCCTGGTATCTTTTTCTTTTCTTTTCATTTTTTTTTTTTTCAAAATTTTGCTTAAAAACTGAAGAGTGTAGCATTTAGTTCATTTTCCCCTGTCCGTATCTGGTCCTCTCCTAAAGAAAACCAACGGGTTCTTTTAACATTCTGTCTTGAAGTCTCCTCAGACCCATTCATCATTTTATTAGTTCTGTTTCTTATTTTCTATGTCACTTCAGCAGACGGTGTTGACGAATAATGAGACATTTTTTTTCTTCTAAAGAAGAAATTTCACACTCATGCCCCTAGTGCACCCCAAGGCTGCAGCACCCTCCCTGCTCCCGCTGTTCTCCCGTCCCACAGCCAGGGCCACAGGCAGAGGTTTTTGGTGTGTCAGTCTGCACTTTTACCTTGTTTGTGACAACAAATCATGGTTGATTTGAGCCACATGTAGGTTTAGGGCATTGAATACATTTTAGAAATTAAAGTTGTCTGTACTTGGAAATTGATGAAAATTAAAATTTGATGGAGTCATTGTATCACCTCCAAACTTATTGGCATCAAACAAAACAATTAACATTTATTATTTCTGGCTGGGTGCAGTGGTGCAAGCCTGTATTCCAACAGCTTGGGAGGCTGAGGTAGGAGGAGCTCAAGTCCACAGTCAACCTCAGCAACTTAGTGAGACCCTGTCTCAAAATAAAATAAATAAATAAAAGGGCTGGGGATGTGGCTCAATGATTAAGTGCCCCTGGATTCAATCCCTGGTACAAACAAAATACACCTGAATATCATTTCTCACAGATCCTGTGAATCATAAATTTTGATGTGAATTTGTATGGCAGTTTTGGCCCAGAGTCTCTTGGGGGGATGTGGCAAGGTGTTAGAAAGCCTGCAGAGAACTGAAACCCCAATGGAGTGTGAGATCCACTCCCAGATGGCCTGCTTACAGCACTGGACTGGCGGTTCTAGCTTTGGGGAGCCCCTTAGGGCCTCCCCACGGGAGGGTCCTCAGAATGTGTGAGGGTTCTGCCAATTGGTTTCTCACAGAGGCTGGTGAGCCTCTAGTAACCCAGCCTTGGAAGTCACCACTTTCACAATATCTCAGGGTGCCCTAGCCAGCTCTGGTTCCAGGGGGAGAATGCCAGCAGGTGCGGTCACCTGGGCCAGCTTGGAGACTGGCTACCACACCCTGGGTCAGAGATGCCCCATCAGAGCCTGTGCCATAGCTGCACGGGGTTCAGGAAAGGCTTCCTGCAGAGGCCACCGGAGTGAGACTGGAAGGACGAAGTGTGAACAGGAAGCTTATGGAAAGGCCTGAGAGAGTGGGGTGTCTGGGAGGCGCACTGGTATACAGCAAGGGGAGCAGGAGACGGGGGGCTCAGGAGTGAGGTCTAGAGCACTCTCACTCTCTCCACTCACTTCCTCATCTCTTAAATGGCAAAAGTGATATGAAACTGATATGGCCTGAGCGTTTGTCCCCTTCAAAACTCCACTGAAATGTCATTGTCATTGTGATGACATCAGAAGGCAGGACATTTAAGAGAGAGTGCTGGGTCAGGAAGCCTGTATCAGGAATGGACTGACACTGTCCTCCTTCATGCAGGAGGGCTCTCTCCCTCGACTCCTTCCTCCTCCCCTTTCCTGGAGCACCGGATGTCTTCCAGGTGACCGTGTGGTAAGAAGGTTCTCGCTGGGTGTTGGCACCTTGGTATCTACATTTCCAGCCTCCAGAACTGTGAGCCAGGACATTTTTGTTCATTCTAAATTCCTCAGTCTGTGGCATCCTGATATAGAAGCACAAAACAGAATAAGATATAATCAGTTGCGAAACACTGTGAAGTTTAAAAGGAATCAGGAAAGCCTAGGTACTTTGTAGAGCAAATTGACTATATTATTAATCTTATAACGTTACTGCAAAGATTAATTTCCAGAAACATTAGAGAGTCATAACTACCATGTTTCAGGCATGGAGCCCTCCGGGCTGGGTGGACTCTGCAGCTCTTTGGGAAGGGCCAGGAGGCTTGGCAGTGGCAAGGTTCACGTCCTGTCTGCAGTTAGCGTGTTATGGTGGAGGCCAGCCAGTTGGCATTTGGATAGTGAAAGGGGGTCTCCTTGTTTTTTTCACCTGTGCTCAGTTGTCAATCACAGATGAAGTGGATAGTAACTTTACTCCTCATGCAGTGGAGACTCAAACCAGAGACAGATGCGCCTGCTCTTCGCACTGTGCAACAGGCCAGTAGTCACTCTGGAATTAGGGAAGGACCCTGGGAGTGCAGGGATGTGATCCAGGCTGGAAGCCCGTGGGAAGGTCTTTGTAGAGCAAAGGTGCCTACAGTCTGCTTCCTACAGCCCCCTGGGTGTCTGAGCCAGTCCTTCTGCACTGTGTCTGTACTCGGAAGCTATGTTTAGTTTGGACACTGCTGAATGACATTGGAAGTTGGAGCTGGGATTTGAACTGAGATTTGCCTGATCTCAAGCAACAGAATGTTTTCTAGTTTCTTGAGATACTCTAGTTTCTCTGTGAATATTACATTTCTGACTGGAAATATAGAAACCGTAGTCTGGAGTTAATTAGCTAATAAATAATAGTGACTTAGAAGGTTAAAAATAAGAATTGTAATGCAAAAAAAATTAAACATTTATTCTTCATTTTAAAATAAATAAATAAATACATAAGGACCTATCAACAACTAAAAAAAAAATAAAAATAATGGTAATAGATTGTTTTCATTTTGAAATGAAAATATTGTATAATATAATATAAAAATGCAAACATTGTGTTAATAATATAAAATATAATATAGCTAAGTGAACTGATGTTAGGTGTTCATATCTAACAACTCTTAAGTGCTTGCTGCTTTTTACCTTCGGCATTAATCTAATTATAAAGAATATTTAACAAAGAAATACTCAAAATTCACTCAGAAAAAAGAAGGTTAAAAATAAAAGGGTGGAAGAAGTATTCCTTGAGAAATCAAATGAAAATAAAGCAGAATGTCATGCGATAACAGCCAGTGCCACAATCCATAGTAAAGTACATGATGTAAAGCAAAGGAAAATTACTGTATAAAGGAAAAGGGGAACTTTGACAGTGTGGATGTAAGAATTAGGAATTGCTCTGCACCACTTAATACAACAGAATAGCGTTCATTCTCAAAAGGTAAAGCATACAGGAGATACAAGGAGAAGCAAAAAGCATATATCAAAAATAGGAGAAGTCAATAACAGGAGACTCAGTTAATGTATCTCAGAAAAATCAAGAGGGGGAAAAACATGCAAAATGATGGGAAAGCCAAATAAAATGTTCAGGCATCTGGGCTACTACTAAACTTTATGCATTAAAAGTCAAAAATGTTCCACAGAGCAGTTGCTACCCTTGAGCAAATACTAACCCAAAGGAAACTTTAATAAATTGCAAAAAGTAGGAATAATACAGATGTGTTCGATAAGAATTAAATAATGTTAGAAATTAACAAAATAAAAATAATATTTAATTCTTTTAGAAGTTAAAAGTATCTGGCACAAGTGACTTTAGGTTCTAAAAATAATCTTCAAACTCAAAAGTGCAGTCTATCTAGAAACATCGTTAATAAAAATGTTGCGTATCAGAGCTTGCAGGGTACAATGAAAACACTCAGGAGAAAATTCATAGTTTTCAGTATTGAACTTCACAGAGGAGAAGAAATGAGGATGCAGGAGTTAAGCACCCAAAGCAAAAAAATTAGGAAGGGCTAGTGACGACCACCACCGTGGGAAACCAGGAGAAATGCAGAAGAAAATAAAGCATAAAAAAGCTAGAAGCAGAAATCAATAAGTTGGAATAGGGGGAAAGAAGAAAATTGGTCAATAAAAACCAAGAGATGATTCTCGAGAACAAATATGTGGTGAGTTTATCTCGTTACAAATAAAAGGTGGTGAGATTAAGTGAAAACCCTCAGCATTTAGAAAAGGGAAATAGCAACAGAAAAAGAAGAAATTAGAATCAAAATGTTTTAAAAAAAATGTTGCTTAAATCTGTGTAAATAAAATGAATGTCCTGAGTGAGGTTTTATTTTTCTAGGGAAACATGTGTTCCCAACTGACCTAGAAGAGATGAAAGGAACCTATTATGTGGAAGAAATAGAGACAATCATCATGGACAACCTCTTCCACAAATTAAGTGCCAACAAGTCAAGGTGTTTTCCAGGGACCTCTGCCCAAGGTTTAAAGAGCAGACACTTCCAGCACAGTTAAAACTTCCCCAGAATGTACAGAAAGAAGAAAAACATCCGAATTATACTTTGTCATGAATAGAGCCTTGAATGAATCCAAAACATAAACACAATATGGTACTGAAGTGAATCTTAAGAAAGTCTCGTTTCTGCAAATAATACAAAATCCTAAATAAAACATTAAGGCACAATTCAACAGCACATTAACAATAGCTCAGCAAGACCATGTGGGTATTTATTTTAATAATTCAAGAGTGCTTTGTTATCAGGCAGTATGTTTCAATCATCATGTTTATGTATCCAAGGAAGACAGTCAAGATAATCTTCATACATGCCAAACAGGCATTAGACTAAATTGAATATGCATTTTGGATTCAAAAGATTCCATAACACAAGAACTCACAGATTTTTCCACAGCTTGCTAAATGATGCCTCTATTCTCCCAAAGGCCATTTTAGCATATATGAGGAAATACTAAAAACATTTTCACTAAATTCAGGAAAAAGACAAGGCTGCTCACCCGTTACTATCATAATTTATCACAATATTAGATGAGCTAGTGGGGTAAATAAAATGTATGTACAAAAATTTGAATGGAAGAAGTAAAGTTATCACTAGTTAACAATGGTATGATGACATACCCTAAAAATTCAAAGCAATTTACTAAAAATGAATAGGAATAGTAAAATATTTCAATAATATACAGTGATTAAAAATTAACATATGAAAATCAATAAATCAATTGCCTATATATACATAGATCTATTATATATATATAATAAACCATTCCTTTTTGATAGATGATGGAGGAAAACAGTTAGATGCAACTCTGGAGCCCTGGCTATATCCCTCTGAGAGTTTCTCAGAGACCACATCATTAGGGAGCCAAGGGCTCTGTATCTGCAGGAGCCCAGATTCCCTTCCAAAGACTCTCCAGGACGGCATCCTTCCTGGCTGTCCCTGTGGACATGCTCAGCAGCAGAAATTCCAGAGCCAGGAGGAGATCTTCCCACTTGGTAGGGGAAGCAAGCCAGGAGCACCACAGACAGAGGAGCTGATGAGTGCTGAGCACTGGCAGGGGTTATAGTGATGGGAAGCAGATGGACTAAAAAATATAAAAGAAGTGAAATTGGACAGATTGGTGAATGTCTCCAGTATTTGTCCTTGTAATAGTATATTATCACTTTAGTTATTACTATTATTGTGGCAAATGAGAGAAAGCAGAGACTGGTGTTTACATCTTGGTAGTGATAAAAATGCCTTGCTCACTCCCCAGTAGCTGAACCCAACTATGTGTTACTTGTAATTTGCAGTGAGAACCAGATGTTTTCATAATTGTAATGGCTAATTTGAATTGTCAACTTCATTGTATTAAAAGATGCTCATAATTAAGAGGCTTATGGGTGTGTCCATGTGGGTGTATCTAGATTGGCATGAGGGATGGCCAACTGAAATGGAAGCCGTCCCTAAGTGTGGGCAGCACCATCCAATAAGCTGGAGGCTTGGATGGAATAAAAGTTGGAAGAACAAAGAAGCAGCAGCCCATGCAAGCTTGGTTCTTCTTGAATGGGTTCTTAATTGCAGCTGAGATTGTCTAAGGATATCAGACTCTAGCTTCTTCACTCTTACAAAGTTACTCTGCCAGTAATTCTCCAGAAACCTTCGGTCTAGGACTAGGGTAGCAGTGTTGATCCCTCTAGTTCTGGGGCTTCAGCCCCTTGGACTGCGCAGCTAATGGTTCTCCTACTCTCCAGCTTGTTGGCGGCCACTGTGTACTATGGGCTTCTGGTCATGTAAGCCAATCTAATAAGACCCCTTTTTATAATTATACTTCTTGTTGATTCTGTTCCTCTAAAGAACCCTAATACAATAATTCTTCATGGGGCGTCTCAAAACCTAAAGTTACTGATGGAGTTTAAACTGAACAGTAAAATACTATGTGGAAACTGAGAGAATGAATGAAATGCGAGGAGTTTGCACAATCTCCACGCATGGCCCTGCAGTATGTTTGGTTCAGTTTGAGCTGTGCTTGTATACATGGTATGTGGGGGGCTTAAAGGTGCGTGTGTGTCCATGAGCATGGGAAATACAAGGTACTTTGGGACATAAGAGAAGGAAAGCAACAGGTGCCTCTCTGGCATAGGCAAGAGTGGACATCACATTTTTCAATGAAATTCTATGTGCAATCACCTGTTGATTGACCTGTGGGTTGACTTTTGCCAATGAGCCCATCGAATGGAAGAAAGCAGACTGACATGATACTTTAGGAAGTTTAGCAAACCAGCACATTAAAATAAAATTGTTCATTTGGGAAGCAGAGTTACACAAAACTGGAAAACCATAATTTTTGAAAGTCCTCAATACCCAATTCTCTACATTTTTTGACCAGAGTTTTACATTCAAGTCCAGACTAACGATGCAGTTTATCACCACTGAACTCTGCAACCTGGCTTAATTTCCCATTCAGATTGGCTTGGTAATAATATCTGCTTAATGAAATCCCATCTCCAAAGTTTCTAGTCATCCCTGCATAGCACAATGGACAAAGCTGATCATGTTGTAAAGAGAGTAAGTGACATAAAAAGGTTCATTATGTCTTAGTCTGGAATATTAAACATCTGTGACCTGGGAGAGGAAAAAGGCAGAGATTAAGTTTGATGTTTGAGTGGAAATTAGGTGATAAAAACAATTAGGGCATTAATGGAGGGAGATTTTGTGCGTCTAGTGTCATCAACCTTTCCAAGCCCACTGCCTCTTTGTGCGTCATCTCTTTGATTGCAAAGGTTCCTGAGAGGCGAAAAGGATAATTCAGGGAGTGAACGAACATTCATTCAATTTCTTTGTCTGAGGAGGGTTACGACTCCACCCCATTACCCAGGGGATTTTTCCTAAGCACTGAGCTTCTGGACCTTTGGGACTCACAACTCTGTGGCTTGAGATGATAAGGATTGTAGGGTCCAGGTGACCTGTCTGACTCTTAATGCCCTCCAGTGTGTTCACTTCCACCGGAGGTTGGTTGGGGGGTGGGAAAGCCAGATGATGGTATTGTCAGCCCCATAGTATTACCAGCTGGGTGTCTGCAGGATCTGCCATCATTTAGCTCTTAGAACCGCATTTCCTCCTCAGTAAGAGGGGTTGTGAGACCAAATGAGAACTGTAAATGAACATCTGGCATAGCCCTTGGCACAGGGGCCCAAGGTCGACTACATCTTTCCTCTTTGCTTTCCAGACTCCTGGGAAGAACTCTTTTTTTTTTTTTTTTTTTAAATAAAGATCTTTGTTCATTTCCTCACAGAAGGCCAGACACCAGGGCTATGTGCTGGGGATTCAAAGATCATTAAAGGCGTATCATGTTCAGTAGGTTCAAGTTAAACCTATCAGATAACAGAGAGAATGGGGCTGAGTTCATCACCATAATGTGAAGATGTTTTGTTTTATATTCTCACTTTAAACAATTAGTAACTGATACTGAGCGAGCATCTGTTTTAGTCAGTTTTTTTTTTCTGCTGTAACTAAAAGATCTGATTAGAAAAACATAGAGGAGGAAATGTTTATTTGGAGGCTTATGATCTCAGAAGTCTCAGTCCATAGGCCACTGTGCTCCTTTCCTTATGGATCAGATGAGGACGGACATCATGGTGGAAGAGTTTAGTGGAGGGAAACAGCTCAGGACATCACATCAGGAAGCAGAGGTAGACTCCATGTTCCAGATACAAATATATACCCAAAAGCACACCCCATTGCCCACTTCCTCCAGCCACATCCTGCCTGCCTCCAGTGACCACCCAGTAATACTGTCAGGGGATTAATTCACTAATTGAGTTAAGTTTCTCAGAACCCCAAAATTTCACCTCTAAACCGTTTTGCATTGTCTCACACATGAGCTTTTGGGGGACACCTGATATTTAAACCATAAGAGCATCTATTGTATCCTAAGTACTACACTCAGAATTTTAAATGTGATAGAAAACTTGGAATGGAAGTACCATTTGACCCAGCTATCCCACTCCTTGATCTATACCCGAAGGGCTTAAAATCAACATACTATAGTAACGCAGCCACATTGATGTTTATAGCAGCTCAATTCACAATAGCTAAACTGTGGAAGCAACCTAGATGTTCTTCAATACATGAATGGAATCTAGAAAAGAATACTAAAGAAACTGTGGTATATGTACAGAATGGAATATTATTCAGCATTAAAAGAGAATAAGATTATGGCATTTGCAGGTAAATGAATGAAGTTGGAGAATATAATGCTAAATGAAGTAAGCCAAACCCCAAAAGCCAAAGGCTGAATGTTCTCTCTGATAAGTGGATGCTGATCCATAATGGGGGGAGGCATGAAAAAAATGGAGGAACTTTGATTGGGCAAAGGGGATAGCAAAGGGTATGGGGACAGGAAAGATGGTGAAATGAGATAGACATCATTACCTTAAGTACATGTATGACTGCACATATGGTGTGACACTACATCGTGTACAACCAGAGAATGAAAAATTGTGCTGTAATTGTGTACAATGAATCAAAATGCATTCTGCTGTCATATAAACCTAATTAAAATAAATAAATAAATTTCAAAGAATGTTATTTTTGTTTTTATTTTTAAAATATTATTTTCTGATTACATATAAGATTCATTAAATTATAAAGTTTTTTAAAATGCAGTTAGGGATACATTGAAAAATAAGAAGAATGGTACAAAATAAGAATACATGTGCAAGGCTCTTGGTTTAATGCACAACACTGAAAAAAAAATAATGATTAATATGATTTCCTGAAAATACTATTATGTAGAGTTATCTAGTAGTAGAATTTGGGTATATAACTTTCTAGAACTTTCTGAAGCTTTGTTTCTATTAAAAATTTGTGTGTGTGTGTGTGTGTGTGTGTGTGTGTGTGTGTACACATACATGAATCCCAAAGCATGGAAGAGTTTATATGTGTGAATGTATATGTTAGATATTGCACATTTTGAAAACAAAATGGAATCACAGATTATAAATTTATAGCTTTTGGCTCAATAGTGTACTATGAATCTCTATTTATGTTCTATAAGTTTTAATTGCTTCTACTTTTATAAGCAATTCTGAAACGTTCTGTACACACATCCTTGCCTATTTGG